GGAAAACTAAACGCAGCTCTTTACCAGGTGCTGACAGAAGAGAGGCGTGAGGCGGAAGAAAGGCGTGAGACGAATGAAAGAAAAGTGCGGCAGCAAAAAGTAGAATTGACCATTACCACCACGATCAAAGATGTGCTATTTAGAGGAAGAGTTCGCGTCATGGAAATGCAATTGAATGATTTTCTTGTGATGGAGTTGGGCGGCATGGGCGTATTGCCCACCAATCAGAATGTCTTGCTGAAGGAGTTTATAAAGGATTCTGCGAGGTATATTCGCGATACGTTTTTACTGCACGATATAAAGGCATCCGATCGTCACAAGAGGATGGAGAGGGCTGTAAGGGAGGAAATGGATATGGAGGAAGACGCAGACGACCTTTGCGAGAAAGGTGTGGACAATCTACTGAAGTGGTCATTAGCTGCTGAGGAGGTAAAAAGAGGTGTTCATTGCATCACTGAACAGGTTTTGGATGCAAACTTCATTGAATTGATGAGCTCAATGACGATGAGTGCGCCGATTAAACTGGAGGGAGTGTACGAGTCTGTGTACAATGCGAGGTGGCATCATGTCATGGAAGTTCCTGACGGCGAGGGGATGGGAATGTATGTGAGGGAGGGGAAACCACAGCAGTCATGGACGTACATGGCAGTTGGCCAAACTGTTGAAAAGGATGATGGTGTGCAGCAATCCGGTGCACCGCGTCCCAGGCTGATGGTGCTCACCTCGGTCAAGGGATGGCCGTACTCGTGGAATCTGAAGGGAGTGGTATCCACTCGTGACTGCTATGTGAACTGTGAGGTGGATCGAGCGTGGCAGATCGTCAAGGGCGATCTCACCGAGTGGTTCAGCAGTCACCGTCGGACCTACATTAAGCCCAAGCAGCGTGTGTTGATTGGGACGGCCGGTATCGGGAAGTCGATGAATGCCGGTTCGTACCTCCTCTACCAGCTGCTGCAATACGATGTCGAGCAGCTCCCAATGGTTGCGTACGTTATTGGGAGTCGATCATTCCTGTTTGACAAGGTCACAAAAACGGTGTCAGTGTACATGGGCGACCCCAGGATTGAGAATGTTGTAAAAAATTTTTCTTTGCGTGGGGTTAAAGGGTATTGTATCTACGATGCGGCATTGGCATTTTATCTACCGGCTGCTGGTTTGCCTTGCAGGGGATGGGGCATGATTGTGGTGACACCACCAGAAAAAAAAGAATATGAACGGTGGACAGAGAAAATAGATGCTACTGCAATCGTAACGAATTGTCCCGAAGAAAACGATGTGAGGGCAATGTGCATTTGGATGAAGCGCAATCGGCCCCTGCAGGAGCAAGCGGAATACTGGAGGGAGGTGAGGGGTCGCATGAATAACGTGGGACCAATTCTCCGCTCCATCTTTGGCAAACAGGCATATGATGACCGCATTAAAGCGTGTCAGCAGGCCGTGGATGGGTCGACCGCCTCGGAATTGGAGCGTTACTTGCGTATTGGCTGCTGTTACTCGTCCAATGACAGTGACTTGTCTCGAAAGCTTGTGAGGGTTGTCCGAGTACGACGAGGAAACAGCATTGAATTGCCTCTGACTGTACTGATATCTCCCCATCTCGAACGTGAAATTCTGTCCCGGTTGGAGAATGAAATGAAGCAGTCCGATTTTATTTTTTTCGTTCTGAGGTTCTGGGATTATGTCCCACCATATCTTATTGAAAGGCATGCCGTATCTGCATTTTTGAATGAGGATTTCCTGCGTGCGATAAGACTCAAAATCAAGGAACTGAGGCCACCAGGACGAGGTGAGCCACACAACTGTGCGCTGAAAGAGCACTCAGACAAGAGCTTCACCAGAAAAGAGGTTCTACCGCCGCCCGAACGCCTTTCCAATCCGGTTGCTATGGACCACTGGGTGCTGTATGAGCCCAAAGTCCAAAACTTTCCGCTAGTGGACGGCTTTTTCTTCGTGGACACAAATCCGAAGACGCTGGTTGGGCTGCGGATGACTACGGCGGGTGAGCACCGCACGACAACCAGGACTGTGCGGCAGTTCACTGAGTGCCTGGCGGCATATTTTAATGGTTGGGAGGAATCATCCCGAGACATGTCGTGGGAGTTTATTTATGTGCAGCACGCAGACAGCACGCCGATGACTGGCTGGCAGAGATGTGATGTCGACAATTCCAATAATGTGAGCCGCGCTGAAAACCGAGAGATTGCGGTGTTCTGGGAGGAAGAGGTGCACCAGTACATAGCAGCAATATCGTCGGACGATGCCAGAAGGGACGAAGCTCTCTGAGGTGAGGAAAAACGAAATAGGAGGACGAATTGGGGAATGAAAGGGGTAGTTTTGATTTCTGGTAAAAAAATATTGTGGGATTTATATATTTTTGGATACTTTTTTGTGTGCATACGGTGCGGATGCACCAGCACCAGGCGACAGTATATCGCACAGATTTCAGAACTGTCCAACGCTATCGAACATAACAGTGGCAGAATAAATTAGGGGGGGGGGGGGGGGAGTGGGGTTGTTTGGTTTCTGGTGAAAAAAATTGGGTGATTTCTATATAGTGTGTTTATTGTGTGTGTGTGTGTACGAGGCGTAATTGTAGAATTGCCCCGGTATGAGGGAATCATTGTGGCTGGTGGTGTCACGGCGTTACCGCATTGTCCATTTTCTTCTATTGTGTTCTAAGGCCCATCACTAACAGAACCGTCTTTAAGGGATGGAGGGAGAATAAGTTCTATTGAGGAAACAGTGTGCTCCGTGTGACCGCATGGAGTGAGGCGCCGCGTCATGGGTGGAAGAGGATCCGCTTCCGCGTGTGGCTCTTTGGGTGATTGCTTGCTCCGTGTGCGTTGTGTTGGCTGCTGGGCTGTGGCCTTATCCCGTTGTCCGTGGGATTGAACTGGAGGCGATGGTGGCGGTGGGTCACTTCTTCTCCTCGCCCATTGGTGTGTGGCTGCTGGCGGTGTGTGCCTTCCTTTTGTGGAGGGCCGAACCCTCTCGTCCGCGGACTGGCAGCACTGCGATGGTGCGTTTGCGATGGCTGGTGTGGAGTTGCCGGCCAGCGCGAGGACCGTGGCGGTGCTTTTCCCGCCCGCAATTTGTTTCTTTTGTGTGTTTGCGCTGCTTCTTGCTTTTTTCCCTTGTCACCATTTTCTCCTGAGTTCCTGCGTGGAGTGGCCGCATGCTCACGGGACATGTTGATTGTGAGTGCGTCTTGACGGCATCCATTCATTTCTCTCCGCCTGTCTGTCTGTCATTCCCTGTTGGGTTTGGCGTGTTGCACCGCGTGAGGGCTGGCCCGCACACACCGACGGCCCGCCGTGGCTTGCCGTGTTGATGCTCTTTTCTGTGTGCGATGGTTCTCCGTGCTGTCCCTTCCGGATTGTCTTGTGTCCCTCTCTTTGCGTGGGTGCTCTGCTCTAACCCCCGCCGACGTGTCTGATGTATTGCCGCTGTTGTCGCCTTCTCCACTTATTGGGCACAAACACGCTAGGAAGGAAGGAAAGCAAGCGCTAATCGCTACTGTGAAATTCAAAGGCACTGAAAGGACCAACAGCAAACACACACATATTTACATGCTCTCACGTGTTGCTGCAGATAAGGCACCCCGCACACACCACCGTCGCCGCGTGACCGGATCCAGCGGAAGGAGGAGGGAAGGAAGAGAGAGTGAGCCGCAGAGGCCCAACATGTCTCGGCGTGTGTTTGCTTCCGTGGTGCTGCTCCTCCTCGTCGTGACGTTGTGCTGCAGTGGAGCTACGACCGCTCAGGTGGAAAAGGCCACTGAAGCTTCAACTTCTGGGTCGGCATTGACGGGTGCCATTGCTGGAGAGGGGAGTGCTTCAGGGGGTGTTGAGGGGCTGCAACGGGTTGATTTATTTATGCCGCAGACGACGCAGGTACTGTCGAATAACGGGACTAACTCAAGTCGGAGGAATTCATTTTGTTTCACCCTCTCTCGTCAGTGCTGGTGGAGTGATTGCTGCTTTCGCCGAGGGTCACATGAATGCCGAATATCAAGATGGTCAATCAACTAAGCCGTCTTCTGATGTTGTTGCGGAGTACATCGACTCTGCGTGGAATTGGTCCACTCTTGTTGAAGAGGTCAAAAAGGAAGGATGGAGTGCACACACTGTGCTTGGTGCAAAGGGGGGAAAGGAGAGTTTTGATGTTGTGCTCCGCCCCACAACAATCGCAAGGGACAACAAGGTGTTTCTTCTTACGGGAAGCTCTGATTTGTTCCACATAAATGGTGGTTGGATTCATGACGGCTGGGAGCTGAAACTGGTAGTTGGTGAGGTCACGAATTCTACGGGTGGCAAGCTGAGTGAACGTATCAAATGGGGCGAAATCAAGTCCCCGTTGAACAAGAATACTTTAGCTGCTCACAAAGGCGAATTGAAGGAGTTTGTTGCCGCTGGTGGCTCAGGTGTTCTGATGGAGGACGGCACCATTGTGTTTCCACTGATGGCGAAGAGCGGAAAAGGTGTCGTTTACTCCATGATTATTCACTCGACGGACAACGGCAGTACCTGGTCGCTCTCTGAGGGCATTTCTCATCCGAAATGCTTTGCACCCCGCATCACCGAGTGGGAGGGATCACTTCTCATGATTGTTGACTGCGAGGATGGCCAGAGGGTGTACGAGTCGCGTGACATGGGGAAAACGTGGACGGAGGCCATCGGGACACTTCCAGGCGTGTGGGTCAACTCCCAATTATTTTTTCGGGATCTGAGCTTGCGTGTGGATGCCCTCATCACCGTGACCATTGGGGGAAGGAAGGTCATGCTGTACACTCAGAGAGGGAACTTCTCGGGGAAAAATAAGGCCACTGCGCTCTACCTTTGGGTGACGGAAAACAACCGTACGTTTTTTGTTGGACCAGTTGGCATGGGCAATGCTGGGG